CGAGCAGACATGCAGGCATCCGATGACGCACAGAGCGATAACGTGTCCCACAATACTCCCCCCCCCCTAGAGTGTTTGTAGGGAGCTGAAAGATAAAGAAAACGCTCGATAATCAGTTAAGGTACAAAAACAACTAGTTGGGAGGGCAAGGTAAATCTCCGGCCTTAGAGTAACAGGGTTTTGGGTAGAGGTGGGACAGGTATTGGAACTGCTGAGACGGGATTGTTGGAGTTGGAGGCAGTAGGATTGTGGACTTCGCGCATGCTTGTGGACCTTGCCGGCTGAGCGAGTGAGGCAGTATTTGGTCCACTGACGAGCGTCCTGTTGGATGTTCCTCCATATGCAATGATCGGTGCTCAACGTTCTTGTTGAACGGGTGTTTGGTTGCGACAAGATAATACGATACGAAAACGACATTAACCTTGAGCTTTTAAAGCATCTTTTTAAACAAAAAAGAAAAAAATTAGCCTATATATGGTTGAAACACCTAGATGAGTACATTGGAAAGGTTAAGTGGAATTCTCTTCCATTAACATTAATTTAAATTTTTTTATTGCAGCTAGTATCAGTAGTACCATTCTTTGAATCTCAGCAAAACGAGAGGAACACCGTTACAGAATTAATATTCTTCCAAAGGCATTTCACGAGTAAGAACAACGAGACATAATTGATTACGCGTAGATTAGAGGACCGGCAGTTGAGTAAGAGGAATCGGGATGAACGAGGAGGTAGTACAATGCCTAAACATATTTTGTACCTTGTTCGCCTGTGGGAAATCGATGGAATTGATCGAGGTATAAGCCAATAGGTGTGCGATACGCAGAGTCGATAAGCAAACAGCCTCGGTTTATTTCAGATGCCACAGTAATGGACTTCCTGGTTCATCTAATTTACTGACAAAGTAGGAATGATTGCAATATATTCACCACCAAGTAAGTATATTCTCTCCCACATTTCCAATAACTGGGATCTACTTCAACTTGTCCTATTTATCCACACCAATTCTAAAAAGTTAACTACAATTTTCATGCTTGCGCAATTTTCAAGGCATAGTGAGAATTTGGCCAGTTTTCCACCAGAAACTCCGACCTTTCTAAGTCTAGAAGCTACCTTTTTGTGCATGGGGTGTGCGATAGACTTACCTCCACGTGGTGCACCCTGAGCAACGTATACTCATACGGCAAAAAAGTCTATTAATCGGCAGTTGACTTCAGACTTCAAACTACCATCACCCCACTGAATGTCATGTTCGGCTACTTCCACAGTAGTTACCTCACCTATTTTTTACCTTTGTGTCTGTCTCTTTTACATCTTTGAAACACTCTTCTATCCCCCCCCTCTCGACTTTCATTCACTTTGATGTAACTTCCCCCCCCCCTGTGAAGCCTGAAGTCAACTAATGAGCTAATGATAACCATCAAAACGCCTGCCATTTGATATAAACAACTAATAAATAAACCTTTTATGAATAATTTATTTACCTCCAGATATAAATGCAGTTAGCTGTAGAATTTTTTAATACTAATATGAATAATAATATGGCTTCTAATTATTTGGTTTAAAAGGAAATGAGGTTACGATGTCGGGAGAATTAAAAATAGCCATCCACTGAATGGTAAATCCGAGAAATATCCAGTTCAATTATTTAAATGTACGAAAAAAAGATTCCCGAGGGGCAAAAGATCATGAAAGCATCTCCGAATCTGTTGGCGAATAATCTTTAAAATATTATTTTTGGGGTGATGCCAATTAAAATCAGTACGAGGTGTTCCCTCGCCTTAAGTTATCCTTGTATTCAAGCACACAATGTCATGATTTACAAAAAATGATGTCTCTTGAGCAATAGAGTGGATAGGTAGTAAACAGTTAGCAAGTTCTTCAACCATAACAGACACATTTATCTTCCAATAGATAAAGTACTAGCATTGGATAGAACTTGTTAAACCGCATTCGAAATAAACTCTGCCATTATGGCCTCATTAATCTGGTCATTATATTCGGCCATTTGAAATTCGACAGTGAAAGGACGAATTTTACATCACTTGGAATAGCCATTTGTAATTTCTGTAGTAGCAAAAGATAAAAACAAGCGTCCCTAAGCCTTCTATACAAAATAACTTTCTGCACACAGGCGATTATGTCATTGCGCATTGATCAAGTCCATCAAAGCAAAAAGTGACGTCAAAAATACAAGTTGTAGAGGGATGCATTATTTCCCGGGTAACTTTTTTTCCGTGCGGACCACGATGCAGAATCACTAGATTATGAAACGGGAAGGTCAATTATAAATAGGCAATGAAGAGAGGGTGCGCGATAGACTTATCTCCACGAGGTGCAACCCTAGGCACCGTATACTCATATGGCAAAAAAGTCAATTAACTGGCAGTTAATTTCCGATTTCAAACTAACATGACCAGACTATGTCCTATTCCACCACTTTCACGGTTCTCACTTTACCCTTTTCCATAAGAGCACTTAAAAACAAATAATATCAAGTCATACAACTCCCAAAATCGATTTAAAGACCTCGCGTCAAAGAACCGACTATCAATGCAATGAAAAGCAACAAGATAAAAGTGAAAATGATATTCTACCAAGGCTGCGAAACAATATAAATATTTACAATCATACAATTAATCTTGCTCATTAGTAAAACTTTGGTGGTGCAAATTCGGGGTCTTTCTCATCGTCTTTATTTGCGATTTCTCTCCTCTTAGGAGCGGAATGCCTGCTCCTTTGTTGATTAGATGAGGACTGGGAGGAATAAGAAACAGAAGACTGTACAAATGTCTTTCCTCGATCCCATTCCCTAGTAATGCGAGTTTTAGGCATATATGAAGGCCGTGGAAGGGTAGACTCCATTCTAGTCGATTGTACAACGACTTCAACAGAGGAAGAGGCGTTCTTAGCCTCATTTTTCGCCTCAGCCTCATCTCTCAATCTACGCAACATGGAGGCGATGTCTAGATCATCAGAACCCAGCTGTTCTCCAACAGGTTCAGGTTGAGAAGGAGAAGATGGAGGAGGGATATCTGCAATTTGAGGAGAAGGCGATTGCTTGCTTTCCTCGAGTAGATTAGCTGCAGCTGTAGCTACATCAGGCAGTCCCTTCCGAGCTCGCAATTGGGCCAATCGGCGACCCATTGCTATACTGCGTTTAGCGCGTTCAGCCTCCACTCGTTCTCGAGCTTGTTCTGTTCGCTGACGGAGGTCGCGAAGTGCTGCCTGTTCCGTTGCTCGCTGCTCGGCATCTTCAGAAAAGGCGTAGAACCCAGTTCCGTGGTCACGCACTTCACCGCGACGCAGATGTGCGTAGGTTATGGGTCCATCAGGAATACTAACTGGTTCCACATTCAAAACTGGGGGTGTCCTCACTGAAAACGAATAACGTACAGATGATTGCAAATGCAATACAAATCTGATTAAAATATACCAAAGTGTATTTCATTGCTAGAATGAATTTCAGCTTTATTTATAATTAAAGTGTACTGCTTTAGCTGCAAGAAATAATGATTAGCTAAATAAAAAACGACTTGAAAGTAACAATCAGAGCAAAGTCAAAATTCCATTTACTAAAAAATACGAAATAGCCAAGTAAATAGTTAATGACATAGATTTTTTGTGTTATAAAAATGAATAAAATAGAAGTAGGGATGCTTAAGGGCAGATCAGAAAGAATTACGAATTCTCAGCAAATTTGAACCAATAACCACAAACATTAAAAGCAAATCCGTTGGCATGCGGTTGCCAATGCCAATAAGTTCGTTATGACCAATGTTCAAAAACTTGGCGACAATCATTAGTTAAAGTGGCGGCATTTCTGTGGCGATGGTCTACATTTCACATAGTGCGAATGGAATCAAAGCAATCAAATGCTAGCACAAATGAACAAAGGTCTGAATTTACTAAAACCAAACAGAACATAGGTAATTTGCTAGAAAGTGGACAAACAGAAATTTTATCAAAATGAGAAGAATTCTAGTAACAATAATAGTAAATGGCAATAGCTAAGCAAAGATTAAGCAACTCGATTACCTCTTCGATTTTGATCTCGATCATCATCACTTGAATCAGTGTCAATCGTGCTGGCTTCCATTGCTTTTCGTTCGAAATCCACCAAAGGAGCTTTGTCATCTTCTTCATTATCAAATTTTCCTGTGCCAGAAATTGCAGCCTGCTTTAGAGCATCATATAATCGAGCTTTGGCTTCCAATTTACGTCTAGAGGCATCCCAAGCAGTCTGTTCCTCAGCGGATTTTTCGGCTTCAGTTGTGTCAAGAGGTTTTCGAACCTTACGAGGTGGGGACACTGGACGTTTAAGCAGTCCACTGATACCACTCCCACCTGAGCGTTTAAGAACAGGAGCTGACACATTCAAAATATTTGTGGCTTTGGCTTTTACCTCAGTCTGACGTCGTGAAATTTCAGCTTTTAAATCAATCAGTGAAACAGCATTTACTTCAATGCGTTTATTACGGCGGTTAGTTGACGACTGCATAAAGGGCCTTTATATGGAATAAATAAATATGTATACATATATAAGTATAAAACAAAAAAGTAAAATATCTCGTGATAAACAAACCCTGAAAAATACAACTAAAAACTGAGGTTACATAATGCACATAAAACGCGCAATGAGAAAGCAAGATTAAAACACAAAATAATATATATAATCAATTAATAGCACTTATCAATTTAAGATATCAAATTATATATCTCCATTCCTGAAAAAGTAGGTTATCGTTTTTTAAACTATGCTTTAATGAGAGCATTATTTCGAGAAACCATTGAGCTTTATTTACATTAAGGGATCTGGAATATAATTATTGCATCATCGTAGAAATATTGTTTTAATCTTATCTCCGTAAACCATTAATAACAGCCTGACTATCCAGAAAATCTTTTATTCTGCTCAGCTGAAAACTGCTAAGCAAACTTAAATTTAGCCCATACAATGGCTAGGTTTAATATTTTTATCATATAATTGCTGATCGAGTCAATAACAATCGAAAGAAAAAACGTGAAATTATATTTTTGGACTGTTTTACTACACTTTGAAATAATATTTACTGTCTATCAAAAAATGATTTATAATATATAAGATACGTTCAACGAAAATTTATTGGGTTCTCCGATTCTTATCGTTTCAAAACTCGAAACTACTTATAACACCACAACGAATTATTTTGAGTTCGATTAAATATTTTCTATGCCTATTCAGCAGAAAGTTAATTGTACCATGTTGTCCAGGTTATTTAAAAGCATGTTTTCTTGGTTTATCTAATGAACAAAATGGTGGTTACGAGAAATAGACATATACATGTGATTTTCAATGTTAAAACAGTTTATTTTTAGAATGGCATAAAATAATGCCTTACATCGCTTCAATTTGAAGGATTACTGCTGGCTGTCAAAGCTTAGAAATTAGTGAAGTGATAATTTGAGTAAATTAAAGTAGAAATTACCAGGGTTGTTATTTTCATTAGTAAGTCTAGCGTACTATCTTAATCTTTCAAAAAACACCAATACTAACAGGAAGGTTTCGTCACCGTCATTAGTGCATTAGAAAGCGAAGCCTGTTTTTCTTCTTAACATACGTTTCGGGGATGAGTGGGGTACAAGTTCCCCGTAATGATCATAAATATGACCACCCAACTTATTAACCTTTCCACCCATCGCGGTCACTTCCTTGCACCTATCATGGTGCCAGTGCAGTTAATTACCGGCACATGTCGTCAACATCTACATACAAAAAAACACATTTTAGGATCAGAGGTGAGGAAATTTCCCATGTTCCCTCTCGAGGGTCAGTTATTCCCCCAAACACCCTCTCATTCAGTTTCCTCCTTCTCTCACCCACCTCTTACAACATAGGCGTGCGTGTTCGGTGGGGCCAAAACCACATTCACTTATAGGCAAGTGGTTAATGGGGTCGGACGCCAACAGGAGTTTCTGGGTTGGGAAGATGGGTGGGGGGAAGGGGGCAGGAAGAGGGGGGGGGGGGTAATTGAACGTTAACAAGTGTATCATAAAATGAGGTTGATGTCAAAACTTTTCACTAGAGATTCCTTTGGCGCATAATTTTGGCTCAGGAAATAAAGCAAAACTTCAAAAAAATCCAGTAAAAAGAATTATAGTGAGTGGAGCTTATATTATAGCGTCGGATGATTATTGCATTGTTCGAGTCTTGTCATTATCAATCAGTTGATCTAATTAAGTACTCAGTAATGACTCTTTGAATCACTTGTTACTTCTTAAAGCCATTGACCGATAACTGAGACTATTAGTGACATTTTAATTAAACGCTTTCAGTAAAAATTAACTCTTATAATAAGGTAACATTGTGCTAGGAAATACCATGAATTATTAGCAAATAAAATGAAAACAGTTCTTGGTACTTCAAAATCAAGTGGTTTATTCCTTAGGCAATTTAGATCAGTTGGCCATTCTTAAATAGAATATAAGAATGCATTCCAAACGCCAAACAAAACAAGCTAACTGACTTCGGGAGTCAAACGTCTTTTGGGTATGATAGATGCAAAAACACGAATCTATTCGAGCCTGGAGAAATTTTAGGGGAGGACATTTACTCTTTGCCTGACTTTCTGACAATTAAAAAGTAAACTTCAAATATCGTCCTCCATTTTCCCTTCTTTAATTTGGCTGTAATAATCAAGGCATACATCGGCTCATGCGGAAGAAAGTACTCCGAAATATTGATGCGCACGATCAATTCGATCGATGGAATTCGGTTTTTCATTACAGTTGAATGGACTTTCAAACCCTTCCCCTCAGGTTCACACTAGTCAGTAGGGGTTAGAAGGTAGAAAAGTGAGTACCTAGTCGAATTGACACTATTTTTCCATTCTTAGTTAATCGAGAACGTCGACACCCATAAGCATACGCATTTTTCATTGGAATTTTAATTGAGAGAACTTTCAGAATGATTATATAACTGCCTACCACTTTAAAGCGGAAAAGTTCCACTTATTTTAACAAAATAATTTTATTTAAATTCGGATTAATTTTTGATCATCCTATATACTCAAATTACGCAATATTAATAATTCACTCAACTTTATTAGCAGTTTATTTATTTATTTCAAATGGCAGGCGTTGTGATAGTTGCCATTAGCCCTTTAGCTGACTTCGGGCTTCACAGAGGGGAGAAACATCAATATCGAAACAAGTGGAGAGGGGGGATAGAAGAGTGATTCACAGATGTGAAAGAGACAAACAGACACAAAGGTAGAGTAAAGGTAAGATGAGTACTGTGAAAGTGGTGGAATATGATATACGGTGGGGTGATGGTAGTTTGAAGTCAGAAGTCAACTGCCGTATGAGTATACGTTACCCAGGGCGCAATACGTGGAGGTGAGTCTATCGCACACTCCACTTTATTAACAGTACCTTGGACAAAATCTTTACTGGGTTTGCCTACATGTTCCTCGGACTTAGAAACAGTCTAGTTAAAATTTAATTAAGATTGATGTGCCTGCATTTGCCTATGCCTGATAAAACATTTCAGACTTAGGATCCCCTACATTTTTGGAAGTTATTTTGATTTATTAAATCTAAATCGTGACTAATGCGCGCAATTTCAATGCCTAATCTATTGAAAGGGAAATTGCATTAGAATATTTTGATCATGGAAGAGCAATGCTTTATTTTTAACTTGAATAATGAATAAATTCTTCGTTGTTCTGGGTACCATCTTTGTGAGACTTAACCTCGGTGTGAGTTCATTGAAGATTAGCAGTAGAAAAAACTCCCGAAACCAATTAAGGCAGTGTGAGCCGCACTTGAGAGTTTAGTTATAGGGAAACTACTATGACGCTGTTCTGACATGAATCCGTCATCAAACCCTGCTCTACCTAGTTGATGGTGCTGATAGGCCAACGGCATCACGTAGAGCGCTTTGTGCAACGTAGGTGTCGTGAAAACAGGAATTGTTTATAAGCCCGCCGACCACTGTTCCATACTTCGAGAAGCCGAGTCGTTACCAATTTTTCATGAAAATCTGTCTATACATTTTTCTAAAGAGGAAGGCTTTGCCTATAAATGGTAGAAAATTCAATAATAATCAGTATCTATGAGAGATAGAGAAAGGTAATTCAGCGGTCAACTTCCTCACTGTCGAAGTCTAAGGTCACGACGCGCACTCAGTAAATTTAGGAAGCGTCTTAACCCTTGAATCTCCCACTACAACAACACTGAATGACTCTAAATGGACGTAGTATTTATGGTAAAAACTAAAATTCTAAATGAAGATGTCTCGGCATTTTAATGTTGAAGAGAAGATAATTTGAATGTTCTATTTGATGAATACTAAGGAATGAATAAGTAATCTAACAACGTATTCGCAATCACTTTGTTTAAAATGAAGCACTGTCATTAATTTCAAGAAACCGTGCTCATTATACAAATGGGGAAATTGGACACTTAGCTTTATGGCTTTAATTTTGAATTGAGGGACGGAATATTTTGCCTGTTCTCCAGTGATTATATGCTGTTGCATATTGTTCGATTTTCCGGTTTCAGAAAAGTCTATATGTCAGCACGCAGTTCCACCCCAATTATCTTTAAAAATCTCATTTAATAACTTTGATGCCATGAAGTTGAGGAATATTTAAGGGTTCTTATGAAATGCTACGAAAGGGTAAATTGCAGACATTTTGAAAGTTTTATAGCTGGTTTTTTTGGTAAGAGATTAAAAAAACTGAAAACCACACCATGCTGTCGTGTGAAGCACTCTGAGTTGAAATTCTGTCGATAAAAAACGATTCCAAGCTAATTTATTTAGTCAGTAGGCGAGAGTGAATGCGCGATGCACACTCCGACACTCGGAGAGAATGCAAATAGCACAAATATGCTAGACTTTACCATTTTTTACCATCCAATATCACAAATTCTTTGATACGAAGGTATGGTCCCACCTCACCCCCTCCCCCTCCTCCCCATCTCTCTTAACCGCATGTTTTACATAATTACCTTAGCTCAATGTAGGTGGGGGGGGGGGGGGGTGGAGGGAGGGAGGGAGGGGAGGGGTGGAGGTCGGTGATCTAAACTACTCACGCCCTTCTCGAAAACAGCGGAAATTTTTTAGAGATTTCATACTCTCACCATTACGACCGTAAAGTGTGAGAGTATGGAGAGGTGGAGAAGCAACAATACGTCGAATGATACGCCCTTCTTATTTTCGTCTCCACTTATGGTGGTAATTTTATTGAATTCCACCGATATCACAAGGATTTAACCATCAATTATCGTCTGTTTTTTTCCGACACAACAATTTTTCAATAAAATGGTTGATAATATATATTTCATTGCTAAGCCGTGTTCAATGAAGAAGTCGGAATTACTGTTGAAATAATTATGAAAACGATTATTTTGGGGAAGAATTTGATGAAGATTTCATAATGAAAATTATCAGTAATAGGCCAGATATTGCTTGATGATAAGGGTGAGTTGCTTGTCGATATTTATTTCTAATTGAAG